ATATATCCAGGGTGCAGTATAGCACTGATGAAACACATAACTATCCTCTAGTTCTTTATTATTTCCTCTCCTTACTATTACTATCTTGTTAGAACTGTGCATGTTCATTTGTATAATGAAGATCATTTGATGCATGAAATCCAAGATTGATAACCCTTCAGAAATAGTAATGGGAGCAACAATTCCCTGAGGGTATGGGAAGAGAAGGGGGGAAGGAGGGGAAAGGGGGAACCGATAGCAATGACAACTGTATAACCCCACTTAAGGGGAGCAAATGTAGAATCATAGGTGAACAGATACATTGAATGTTGTAAGATATGGCCAAATAAATAAATAACTATATATAATAATAGGGCTCTTGGGGTGGGGGCAGGGGGAGGAGGGAGGGGGGGGTAAAGGGGAGCTGATATCAAAGAGTTCAATAAGAAAGAAAATGTTTTGAAAGCTATGGTGGTGGATAGTATAGTTATGCTTGTAGTAATTGAATAGGCTTGTTATAATATCTATAAGAGCTCCCAAGAAAATGATTAAAAAAGAAAAACAAACAAACAAAAAAGAAAGAAACACCTTCTCTGCTTTTCTCCTCTGACCTCAGGTGCTTCTTAAATGCTTTACCTGAGGTCAGAGAGGCAGGACGAGCCTTCCATTCATATTGTCGAAGCTAAGGGAGAGAACCAGGACGGGGTAGAGCCATGCATGTTCTCAGTCAAGAGTGGCGATGATGTGTTGATGATGTATTGGTGATCTATTGGTGATGTACTGATGATGGCTGTACATGATTCACGTAACAGGTGTCACTCGAATGTGAACATGAAAAACACTGACTTGGCAAATGAGCTCGCTCTCCCTCTCCTGACACCAATGCAAACAGTAAGGAAGTGGGACTCATGATGATGGTGGTTGGGAAGGGGTAAGGAAGGTGTCTGCGTGGACTAGTGTCTGGGTCTCCCAGATGGAGCCAGTCAAGCCCACGCTCGTTCCTGGCTTGGCAGTTCAGGGTCAAACCCAGGCTCCTCAGTGACAGTTCACAACCACTCAGCTGCTCCACACTCAGTCCCTCCACCCCCAGATGACCAGATCTCATAAGGACACTGGTACTGGGCTGGGAGGAGGGGAAGGCGAGCAAGGTAACGCGGCATGGACTTTGAGACGCCCATTCTCAGGGTCCCATAGGTGCTGCCTTAAAATTTTATGTAAAGCAACGTAGCTGCCTCCCCGAGCCCTGACTTGGGAGTCAGTCCAAGAGTGGAAGAAGGAAAAGAAACAAAGGGTGGTAGAAGAGAAGGTGCTAAGAAGACCAGGTGGGAGGATGCAAACTCGTCTGCACAGAGAAGCATGGCCGGCCCACATGACCGAGACAGCACCTCCGAAAAAGCAGCTCCCCCGTAAGTTTTCCCAAGCACCCCTGGGCCTGCACTACGCCTCGACAACAGCCAGCAACAGGCATAATAAGACACCTTCACCCCTTTCTCACTCCCCAAGTTCCTTGTTCCGGCTGTGGGAGGAGGGAATGGAAGCCAATGCCTTTTCTGCCTTGACTCTCTCCTCAGACTTGATGTCTTTGCTTGACGTCGTCAGCCTCACCCTAGCCAGGCTCATTCAGAGGCACAAGACGGCATTTGAGCACTTGAAATAGGGCTCGTCCAAACTGAGGTGTGTTGTAAGTATAAAAATATGCACTAGATTTTTGAGGGCATGGTTTGGAAAGAAAAAAAAGGAATGTGAAAGAACCCACTAAGATTTTAAACTGTTGATAACATGTCCAAATGGTATTTGGCACCTGTAGAGTTCAACCACAAGTCCCGGGGCCAGAGTGGGGTCAAACGTGAAGCTGTTTGAGAGTAGCAGCTGTTCTGCCTAAGAGAGACATGGCCACCCTCTTCACTAGAGATTCCAGCCTCGGAAACCCTAAGGTAGTGTGACGCTGTTCCTTAGGGTCACTAGGAGCCTGCTGTTGGAGTGGTTACATGTGGGGCTGTGATCCACACTGCTCCAAGGGGCGAAGACAGGCTTTCCACCCCGGCAAGCAGTGACAGTCTTGGAAACTCGCCGGGGCGGTTCTACCCTGAACCATAGGGTCACCATGAGTTGGAATCGACTCAATGGCCGTGGGGTTTTGGTTTGTTTGTTTGGCTTCTTAGGTTAAATATAATATATCACTAAAATAACCCCCCGCCCCTGTTTCTTTTGACTTGTTTTAATGGCACCCTGGTGGGGTGGTGGTTACATGCTGGGCTTTGATACACAAGGTTGGCAGTTCAAAACCAGGAGCTGCTCTGCAGGAGAATGTCAGGGCTTTCTGTGTGGTCATGAGTTGTTGATGGGATCAGGTATCAAGTATCAGGTATCAAAAGATCCACAACAAACAATTATATCGATGAGAAGGATTATAAGAAGGGATGATTCAACCAGGGTGCAGTATAGCACGGACAAAACACACATCAATCCTCCAGTTCCTGAGTACTTCCTCCTTTCCCCCACCCTGCTGCCATGACCCTGTTCTACCTTAAAAATCTGGCTAGACCAAAGAACACACATTGGTACAGATATGAACTCTTAACACATGGAATTCAGGAGAGATAAACCCCTCAGGAACTGTAGTGGGAGTAGCAATATCATGAGGGTCGGGGGATCAAGCGAAGGGGGAGAAAGGGGCAATCCATCACAAGGTTGGATAGATGGGCCCCCCAAAAGGGACTTGTGGGTGAAGGGAGACAATGGACTGTGTAAGATACGAAATAATAATAGTGATATATAGTTGATCAAGGATTCACGTGGGTGGGGGGGTGGAGAGGAACAGGAACTTATACCAAGGGCTCAAGTAAAAAGAAAATGTTTTGAAAATGATGATGGCAACATATGTACAAATATGCTTGATACAATTGATGTATCAATTGCTATAAGATGTTTGGATTGTTACAAGAGCTGTAAGAGCCCCAATAAACTGATCTTTTAATGAAAAGAAATAAAATAAGTAAATACATATTTTCATTGTTCTATGGGGAAAAAAAGACAGGGCTTTCTCTTGATGAGTTAGTCTCAGAAACTCACAGGGGCAGGTCTACTCTGTCCTGTAGGGCTACCATGAGTGGGCAGTGCAATGACACTCGAAAATTGAGACGCTCGTGGAGCCAAACTGCTGTTCAGAGGGAAGACCCAACTTAGTAGTTGGCATACACTTAAAAATACGGGACCTTTCCAGTCTTTACACAGCCAGCCTCCTCCACCCCATGTGTGCCCTGCAGCCGCACCTGTGTCTTCTCTCTTACACACACACACACACACACACACACACACACACACACACACCCTTTACCAAACCCAACCCAACCCGGGTCCCTGAGTTGCTGGGAGCCCTGACAGTGGGGGAGGAGAACTTGCAGACCCCTGGCCTGGAGGGCTGGAGGGAACTGCTGTGAGGTGTTAGCTTTGGTTTCTGGGGAGTGAAACACAAAGGAAAGTAGAGGCATCCTCTCCAGGATGTCACAGTTTAACAACACCTCAGACTTGTGAAACTTGTGGTGCAGGGAGAAGTGAGGCGCCCTAGGCTTCCCCCACCGATTCACACCCATAGCAAACACCGTTAGTGTACCATAGTCACCAGATAGTCTTCGCCTTAAGAACTAAACCCACAGAGTCCCCCCACCCCACTGTACTCCAGGAGGGAGAGCCCCATCTGAGCCCTGAGGGGTCAGCCACTCAAGGATTATTTGACAAGTAAACAAAGACAAGTTTCAGTTGGATTGGCTTGATAATGAAGGAGGAGTGGGCAGCTGAGGGAGAGTGAACCAGACACCACGGGAAAATTCCATTATTTCATAATTTTATCTGGCGCCCCCTTTTCCATCAATCTGCATTTCCAAGGCTGTAGGAGTGGGAGTTAAGAAAGCCGAGATAATGATCTCCCAGCCCCTGGGCGGCACTAACTGCTTATCAGACAAGTGCAGTGGCTGAGCTAACTCTGAGGCTGGGGAGGAAGTTTTCCTTGGCCCTGGCCTTGCCTTGGCTGGGGAGCCCTGAGAAGTTGGCCACAGCCTCTCTGCTAAAGCCGGACTTGCCATGGTACTGGTGGGCTCAGCGGGATGAAGAGAGGGGGGCAGTGGAGAAGCTCCTTCCACGACAAGGGAGCGCAGGGAAGGTGCAGCCGTGATGTTTTGTTCTGGTTCTAGTCGCTGCCCAACCCCTGGCAACCCCGCGTGCTACAGAGGAGAACTGCTCCATTGCGGGGTCTTTGGCTTTTCATGGTAATGGAAGCAGATTGCCAGACCTTTCTTCTGGGGCACCTTTTCAAAAAAACCCCAAACAACCAAGCTCACTGCCATGGACTCGGTAGAGACCCTGTAGGGCGGAGTCAGTCCAGCCGTTGGGTTTCTGAGACTTTCAGTCTTTCCTGGGCCAGTCAGCCTCATCTGTCTCCCTCGGAGCTGCTGGTGGCTTCGAACAATAGAGCTTGTGGTCAGCAGCCCTTGACACCACCAGGGTTTCTTCCAGGGTCCGCAGGTGAGTTCACACTGCTCACCTTTAGGTTAGTGGGACTCCAAACTCACCCCCATCAAGTCGATTCTGATTCATAACAGTAAATACATCACACACACACACACTTTGAGGCCCTTGCCCAGGTGTGACTCTTCATTAGGTGACAGCCCTCAGAGCGGGTCGGGCCCCTCTTTTGACCTGTGCCCTGGGACCAACCATGTGCCTGGGGAATGAGTTTGATGCGCTGGGCTGGGCTGCGTCCCCATCCCCAACCCCCCTCGACTCCTGGGTGACTGTTGCTGACGTCAGCAGGCTTTTGGTTCATTCCCTGGCAGGAGGACTTTATTTTCATCCCAGCATGAGGTGCCGCGGAACTGGAATAAGCGTGTCCCCTCCCCCTGCCCCGCCCCTGCCCCGTGTGCGTCCCTCGCTCCGCTCCCTCCCCGCGGGCGACAGCGCCTTTATAACTGCTCCGCGTGCGCTGGGCGGGATCGCTGCTGCCCGAGGGCTCCCGCAGCACCCAGGGGCTCCCGCTGCCCTCACCCGCGGGAAGCGGCCAGTCCCCGGCTGACGTCCAGGCACAGGGTGAGTGCGACTCCTGGGGCCCAGAGCATGCCCGGCCTCCTCCGTCGGCACTGAGATCGGAGGGGGGCTTTGGGAACGGCGAGGTCAGAGCAGAGAGAACCCCCCACCCCCAGAAAGAAGTTCCTCTAGTTTAATAAGTCAGATTTGTGTCCCTTTTCTTTTTGGATTTCCCAGGCTAAGATAGAGCCGGCGGAGCAAAACTGTGACCGTCACAATTTCCACCCTAGTCTGCGCAGGACTCCTTGCCAGGGCAGTCAGGGAAGGGTCTGAGGTCATTTCATGGAAGAGCAGGGGACCATGGGGCTGGCTCGAGAGGAAGTGGGAAGAAAAGGGGGGCTGGTGTGTGTGCGTGTGTGGGGGGAGCGAGGTGGTGGCAACTGCCTTCCCGAGGTGCTGACAAGAGTTTTCACTGAGCGGTCCCTTCACCACAGGTCCAGCCTTCTGACTGTAGGTGGGATAGGTTGTAGAAGCCTTCCTTTCCGTGAGCATCCCTCCTTCCGGTGGAAGGTGAAAGCACATTTTCAGCCACGGTCCAGCAACAAGTAGATGATGTTGTTGTCTGGGGCTGAACTTCAACTCTTGACAAGTCTCTGAACTTGCGACATGGAGTTTCTGCAGGCTGTTATCTTCCCGCGGGGCATCAGGTCAGGGTCTCTCTTCTGCAGATCTGCGGACAAGGTCCAACCAGCAACCTTTTACTTAGGAGCCAAGCCCTGAAGGGCTTCGTTACCCGCTGAAAAATTAGTTTAGAGAGAAGCCAGAAATGGAAAATCCTTCACAAATGTTTATCGTGCCACCTGTTTATTAGCCCTTTCTCTCCTCTAGGAACCCTGCTGGCATAGTGGTTATGCCTTGGGCCGTCATCCTCAAGGTTGGTAGTTTGAAACCACCAGCAGCTCCCTAGGAGAAAGAGAGGGCTTTCTACTCCC